GAATAAGATGTGGCAGAATGTCAACTCTTTTAAGTAAATCAAAAAAACTCTCGGTTATTTTTTTCTTCCAGTATAATCTACATTTTCTACTTAATAAATTTAAAATTTGTACAATTTATACGTATTATAAATAATAACTAAATATTAACATATAAAAAAAAATTATAGATAAAACTAAAAGAAAAAAAAAGGAATGGCACGCAAGTTTTTTTTAGGCTTAGGGGCCGGCCCAGCTCGAGCCGACGCCCCAAAATGTGGCTCAACTCAAGCCTCGACTCAGTCCCACTAAGCCACGAGCCGGCTCGGCTCGAACTTTTTCTGGGCTGAACCCGAGTCGGCAAGCCATTTTGTCATCCCTAACTAAGCCCAAGTGACAATTTCCTTTTCAATAGTTGTAAGAATTTTTCTAACGAAATATAACATGGCCAGTGGCACTAGATATTACTGAACCCGAGTCGGCAAGCCATTTTGTCATCCCTAACTAAGCCCAAGTGACAATTTCCTTTTCAAAAGTTGTAAGAATTTTTCTAACGAAATATAACATGGCCAGTGGCACTAGATATTATTGAAATTAGTGGTTGAAAATGACTTATTCTATCACAAACTTTGTTATTCTTTATTCATCTTTTGAACACACTTGAAAAAATGTTTTGATCTCTTTAGAGTAAGAATACGAAATAGAAAATTCAATAAGTAATGTTCATAAAGCGGGGTTTTCATCTTATAATGTTACAAATATTGTATAGAAGTTATTTTAGGTGCATGATGATGTACATTATTAGATCATATTAACAATACAATAGATGTTAATTTATTTTATTGAACATGCAGTTTAATATTACACACGACTCTTTTTTCTTGAATTTTTTAGGTCCATTGACAAGGTTTTGAAAAGTCAAAAGTTATTTTTGAAACTAAGGAGTTTTTTTTTTTAACTTCTTTGGATAATTTTCTGAAAATATTTTGTCCGACTAAAAATAATTTTAAAGAAAAGTGGTCTAATAGTCCTTTTTTGAGGGTATTTTTATTTTTTCTTCTTATAGAAGAACTTTCTGAAGAAGTTAATTTAGGTCGGATTCTTCTTAAAGCTTTTTGAGTAAGATAAAACGCTTTCAGAAAATTATTCAAGCAGGATCAAAAGCAATTTCTTAATATCAAATCAACTTTTGATTTTTTAAAAGCGTTGTCAAACAAGCCCTAAGGCACCACCCTCAAGAAGCTTTTCTAAAAGCAGCATTAGCAAAAGCATAAAATCATGTCAAATTGGCCCTTAATTTCCTATCAACCGCAAATGGAAAAAAGAAATCCTTATTATATATTGGATTAAACTACTTGTACACATAAAGTGTATACCTTGATTGACACTTCCTATGCGTCAAAAATTCGACATTTGATTAAAAAATGTGTTGTCAAGATCAATGTATTACAATCTGCCAACTCACATTTGAAACCAATGTGTCAACTTTTATGTATACGTAACATGATCCATATATATTTAGTTGAACTTGTAGGGGATTCCATTTTCCCTCTGACGGCAAATACGTCCAAGAAAATAAAAACAAGCGTTGATATCCATGTGAGTATATTCCTTGTCAGGTGATTCTCCACCCGTACCCCCACAAACAACGTATAGCATATGCATATATAGATCAATTTATCTCACACTTGTCTAAATACACACACACAGAGACAAAAAAGAAAATAAAATAACAAATTCAAATCTCTGCAAAAGACCTCCCACATATATAAAAAAAGATGAGCTGCAACCTTGACGGCCCCCACCTGTTCTGTCTTGGGTCTTGGTGAAGGAAATAAATTGCAGGTTATGCCTCCAAG